TTGCGTGTTTGTTACTTTTGACGTTATCTTACCTTTGATAACGTCGGTTTATTAAATTCGAGGAGATGATTAAGTAACATTGCTAAGGAAATCAATGGGTGGTTACCCGAAAACGCGAAGTTAAAGTGACTCAAAATACAAAATTTTCGCAAAATCGCGGAATTTCAGTGTCGCGAAATATGCGCACCTCATAAACGCGAAAAAAACGTGTCGCGAAAATTTCATGTAATAAGGTAACAGACTTTTTTGTATCCTTTTTTTTTTCAATGTGAGTATGATATGATGCTACAAAGCAACCAAAAAGCTAATCTTTTGCTACATCGTTATGTTTCCAAACAGAGAACAGTTTCTGTCAGGGCAAAGGTCGAGGGAAAAAGTCATGTAAGCTGAAGTTGAACCAGTCTCTTCCAAGGAATGAGCTGTTAAATTCAGAGGTCTTCTCTGTCTGAGAGTGGACAATGAGACATTCAAGTACTTTTCTTGTTTTTCGGTTTTTGTTCCAAATCATTGCCAAAGCGAGTTCCAGATTTGGACAAGTTTAAAAAAAATCAATTTTANTGTTTCCAAACAGAGAACAGTTTCTGTCAGGGCAAAGGTCGAGGGAAAAAGTCATGTAAGCTGAAGTTGAGCCAGTCTCTTCCAAGGAATGAGCTGTTAAATTCAGAGGTGTTCTCTGTCTGAGAGTGGACAATGAGACATTCAAGTACTTTTCTTGTTTTTCTGTTTTTGTTCCAAATCATTGCCAAAGCGAGTTCCAGATTTGGACAAGTTTAAAAAAAATCAATTTTAGTTGTTTTGTAAGTGTACAATACAAAGAGAATGGTAAATAGTTATTAGTCGCTTTGAGATTGAAAGGTAGCCCAAAATGGGATAATTTTAATTCTTGAGGGACGTGATGCAAAAGCTTAAGTTAGATTAACTTGTGATTTTAACAAAGTTGTTCAAAATAACCAATTTTTGATAGGCCTAAGTACCATTTCCATTTTCTAGTACGAAATTATAATTCAGAGTCAAGTGAATAGTATTTTGTTATACCTTCCAACTCAAATACGTTTTCCGATTGGAGGAGAACGTTTCACGTACCGTGGGTCAAGACTCACTAACTCCCTCGAGCGAATAAAAGTCACTAACTCCCTAGGGAAACAACAACCTGAACTTTCGACTTGCACGTGATCAGGTCGTGCATCTTGAAACGGCGCCAAATTTGTTTGCCAGTAGACCTGATGTCAAATCAGGCAACGTTTCTCATTTTAGAAGGAATTCATTATTCAAGAAAATCGATTTATAATTCGGCAAAAACATATCAGATTAACAAAGGGGAAATTTTGAGCATTTTGTGTCTTCAAGCTTTTAATTTGGCAAAAAAATAGGTCGCCTGCGTTTGGCCACTCGCCGAAAATAGTAGGAAAATAGTTGTGTCATTTACAACAAAATATGCTGTTCCTCGTCGAATAATTAAAATCCAGAATTCTCGAGTTAAGCATTAGAAGAAGGCAAAGCAATTTAAGTATTGTCTTTGTTTTTGTTAGATGCGAAGAAAAGGACTGTTTCATTAAAGATGTGTACATTATTTATCGTGGTGTAAGATAGGATAGATGAATTTTCACTCGTTTGTCTTACGATGGAGTCACTTTTAAGATGTAGATCGGGACATTTTGACTGCTATCTTGCTAGTCTTCATTAGGCGATGAGGTCAATTGTTGCGCGTCGCTATTTGTAGCACCTTGACGTAGAATCGCTGTTTACTAATGTGCTAATCGAGGGTGCCGTACAAGTCGCATTACGAAAACGAGAAAATGATCCCGGTCCTCCCG